TCTGCCTTCCTCCATGCTCCCTAGCACTAGGTTCCCCCTTGAAAGCTTGTAAGCCAGTCACTTCTTGCCTTTGTAGTCCCCCCCTCCCCATTTGAGTGTCCAATGTCCAAGTTGCCCATCTTCGTCCACTCTGTGTGTGGAGGGGGTGGGAATGATTCTCGCTGTAAGGATTTGTTTCTTCTTTTGAATTGCTGCTCCATAGGTATAGGTCAAGTTCATCAGATTGTATCAGCTCACTCTTTTTTTCCTCCCCTCTTCTTTCTTCTCCTGGCTGAGCTCTGATCCTCCAGTCATCCAGTCCAGGTCATTGTCCTTTTAATGCAGAAGCTGATGTGTTCATTTTCCATCTATTATTTCAGGTTCTGAGTCCAGGAATGGCAAAATGGAACTTAGAGTCGAGCAGATTTCTGATGATGCCAGATCACACTGGATGGCTCATGGAAGCACTGAAAGAAATGTTCCTCAGAGGCCAGAGTTGGCAGAAGTTAGTGAACTTCAGGGCATGGTCGAAAGGTGGCAGGTAAACCCCACTGTGGGGAAATCAAGGCAGAACCCTTCCCAAAAAGGAGATCTTGGTGGAATCGCAGGCATTAGCCGTAAGCAACACACAAATGTTGAGAGAGGACACAAGTGTAATGACTGCGGTAAATTTTTCCTTCAAGCCTCAAACTTTATTCAGCATCGGCGAATCCACACTGGAGAAAAACCGTTTAAATGTGGTGAATGTGGGAAAAGCTATAATCAGCGTGTGCACCTTACTCAGCACCAGAGAGTCCACACTGGTGAGAAGCCCTATACCTGTCAGGTGTGTGGAAAAGCTTTCCGGGTGAGCTCACATCTTGTTCAGCATCATAGCGTGCACAGTGGAGAGAGGCCTTACGGATGTAATGAATGTGGAAAAAACTTCGGTCGGAATTCCCATCTGATTGAACATCTGAAACGCCACTTCAGAGAGAAATCCCAAAGATGTATGCATGAGGAGTTTGTATTTGGGGATAAAGAGAGGCAAAAATTGTTTTCTTCGGTTAATGCTATAGGACGGATGGGTTGTGCTATTGGGAGCAGTAAGAGAAGGGGCAGAGAGCAATTGATCTGAGTCTCACTGCTCCTTTCATTGGTTGGTAAATGAATAGGTAAAGCTCTATGCCCTCTCTCCCTTACCGCATTCCTTTCCACAGAGTTACCTGCCTTTAGCTTCTTCTGATCATTGTACATTTTAAATAACATTGCTATTTCTTAAACTATCAACTGTACACAGTCTTTTGACTTTCTATTATAGTAAATGAGGTGTTTTGTTTTTTTTTTTACTTACATGCTTTTTTTCCTCTGCTCCCTTTTCCTAATGTAATTATTTCATTCTAAAATAACAGTAAAAAAACAAATCCAGACCCACTGCCAGTCCTAGTGAGCCTATCGGGCCGAGTGGCCCTTTTCCCTAGGGTTTCCAAAACTGTACATCTTCATGGGAGCAGACAGCTTCATCTTTCTCCCTTAGGGGGATGAGTGGGTTCAAACTGCTGAACTTGCAGCTAGCAGCCCAGTTTGCTCCCCACCCACTGCAATCAAGTTGATAATGCCTCATAGTGTCCCTTTATAAGGTTTCTGAGACTGTAAGTCTTTATGGGAGCAAACTGCTTCATCTTTCTCCTGGTAGGTTTGAACAGTCCAATGCTAATCCCACAGCTCCGCTAGGGCTCCTAAAATAAGGGGTGGTGGTGGTGGGTGTGTGCCGTAAAGTACAGGGTTTCCAAGGCTGTAAATCTTTGTGGGAACAGAACAGCTGGTAGTTTCAAACTACTGACCTTAAGGTTAGCAGCCCGACTTGTAACCACTACGCTACCAGAGCTCCTAATGTAAGGGTTGTTGTTAAGTGCCGTTGAGTCAGTTCCTAGCCATAGCAACCCTGTATAGGGTTTCCAAGGAGCAGTTGGAACCGACTTGATGGCACTTACCAACAACATTTTCATATAGTTATACTCATGTTGTGTGCTGTCGAGTTGATTCTGACTCTGCGTGGCCCTGTAGGACACACTAGAAATGTTCCTTAGGGTTTCCTAGGCAGAAATCTTTAAGGAACAGAGCAGCTAGTGGGCTCAAACCACAGACCTTTCGGTTGGCAGTCAAGCACTCAGCCAGGGTTTCTTAGTTTTACTCATGGGTCCATTGAAATATAAGGCATTCATGTTTTCAGTGGGCTTCAGCTCTCCTGCCTGTTACTTTTGACTTTCTGACTTGCCATTGTGTGGATGCATCACAGTTCCCCAGTTACTGAGCATTTGATATTTGCATTTTTGTTCTGATAACTTCTGTGCATATGGCTTTTTCTACACTTGGTTTTATTTCCTTATGGTAGAATCCTAGAAGGGGCGTTAATAGAGGAAAGGATCAAGGTACTCTTATGATTCTTGCTTATTACCAAATTGCTTTTTAAAAGAATTATACCACATAAGATTCTTTTTGCCAAAATCTTGCCAGCATTATTATTATTATTTTTTTTAATTAACAAATTGAATAAGCAGAATCTTAATCTTGGTTGCATTCATAGTCATGAATTTTATTAGGAATAAGATTGAATATTTCTCCTGTTTATTTACTTATGTTTTTTCCTTGTCTCTTCAAGTGGCATTAAACATACACGTGTAGGATCACTGTCAACTGTGCTGCGAACTGAAAAGACTCAACTATTGTTCTTTAGATGGCTCTGTGATTGGTCCAAGTTTTGGTTCAAAGATTTAACATTCTGGGTTCAGCTTGGCTACCTCCTCAGTCACATATGGCCCATTCTCCTTGGTGACTGTCTCCTTGGGGAAAGCCTTCCAGTCATGCTTTAGGCTTAGAAAGCAGTTGCTTTAAAATGGTATCTATTTTATGTCCTCTCCCCAATTGTTCGTTGCCTAGTTTCCCAATTAATATCTACTTTCTCTGACCCTTCTTTTGGATCAAAGGGGAGACACTTTATTTGCTTACTAACCTGCCATATTTATTGAGAGCCTCTAGTGCTGGATGCTTGGGCTGTGCCCGTGCCCAGAACAGAGATAGGTTGTGGCTCATGGAGCTAGATACTAGAAAAGCAGATACCAGAGGTGATGAGCATTCCAAAAGGAGAAGTATATGGTGCTGTGGGAAAGAGCCCAAAGCTGGAGAGTTGGCTAAAGGTGAAGAGGACAGGGGTTGATAATTCTGCCCTTTCAACAATAACTTTTACTTGCTCATTTCTCCTGTTTCCTGGCTTCAAATCAGGCATTTTTACTAACTCCTTATGTCCTTTGTAAATCCTTTGCTTTTCATTCTTCCAGCTTTTGTCACTTCTCACCATCTGCGTGTTTCTTTTGTTTTTCCTCATCCTTGTTGCCTAACTTATGTCCAGATAGTGACCCCCTCCACAATTCATATTGTCTTACCCATTTTAGAATTTTTTAGCCTTTTTTTTTCTCTATAATAACATTTTTTTTACTGAACTCTATTGTTGTCTATCCTCAATCACTTTCTCCACCCTTCTAAGTTAGCCTCTTCTTTGTCTTACTGTTTTCGCTGGACAAATCCCCAATGTGTTTTTTTTTTTTTTCAGTCCTGCTAGCATCAAACACATGCATGGATCCACTTCTGATAACATTTGCATTTCCTCTTTTTTTCAGGCAGTGACAAAAGGAGGAAAAACACAAAATTGAATGGTAAGAAGAAAATTTCAGAATTTCCAGAAGCAGATGTGGAACTATCAAGGAAACTCCAAAGGAATAATTCTCAAGTTGAAGATTTTGGAGAAGACTGTGAAAACCAAGGCAAGTTGAATAAAAATCAGGTAATTCCCATGAAAGCAGTACTAAGACAACTTCCTTCAAAGAGGATCAATTTCAATGATGTCACATATGCCCCTAACAAATCTTCTATAGGAGAGAGACCATATAAATGTGATGAATGTGGGAAAAGCTTTATTCAGAGTGCACATCTTATTCAACATCAACGAATACACACTGGGGAGAAACCATTTCAGTGTAATGAATGTGGGAAAAGCTACAATCAACGTGTACACCTAACTCAACATCAGCGAGTGCATACTGGTGAAAAACCCTATTCCTGTCATTTATGTGGGAAAGCTTTTAGAGTGAGGTCCCATCTTGTCCAGCATCAGAGTGTCCACAGTGGGGAGAAACCTTTTAAGTGTAATGAGTGTGGGAAAGGTTTTGGCAGGCGGTCACATCTTGCTGGACATCTGAGACTCCACACTAGAGAAAAATCCCATCAGTGTCATGAATGTGGAGAAATCTTCTTTCAATATGGTAGTTTGGTTGAGCACCAGGTGCTCCACCAGCATCAGAAAAATGAAAAAAATGGCATTTGTGAAGAAGCATATAGCTGGAATGTAACAGTGTTTGAAGATAAGAAGATTGAGTTACAAGAGCAGACTTATAAGTGTGATATATGTGGAAAAGCCTTTAGTTACAGTTCAGATCTTATTCAGCATTACAGAACTCACACTGAAGAGAAAACCTATGAATGTGATGTTTGTAGAGAAAATGTTAGCCAATGTTGCCACCTAAAACAACAGCAAAAAATCTATTCCACCTCAAAGCCCTATCAATGTAATGAATGCGGAAGAGGCTTCACTCTCAGATCACATTTTAATCAGCATCAAAGAATCCATACTGATGAGAAACCTTTTCAATGTAAAGAATGTGGAATGAATTTCAGTTGGAATTGTAGCCTCTTTAAACATTTGAGAAGCCATGAGAGAACTGATCCTGTAAATACCGTAAGTATATAGGTGTTTTTGTTGTATAACAGCTGTTTAAGAGAAGCCTTTCTGAAGAGAAATCTTACTTGTCCTTGAGTGAAATAAACAACTTCAAGCATTGTCTCCAATCAAACCATCAAACCTACAAATGTGTTGATGAAATCCTGTAGTTAGAACTCAGCCTTAAGAACATTGGGGAATCAATAAATTGTTACCTGTTTACATTAATTGTTGAGAAACACTTTGGTTAGCATCTTCATGCTTGAGAATCAACACAAGAACCCGTGAAGATGATGGATGAAGGAAAGTTTTCAAGTGGCACTCATTCTTAATTTGAAACTCGGAAAACTAACAGTAGGAAAAGCCTCATGACTACAGTAGAAGTAACCTTCATTTGTAGTGCTTGGCAACGTATCTACCAAGGGAAGAGCACAGTGAGACAATGAGAGGACTCATTCTCCCACTTGTGGTACCTCAGCAATGAACCTTTTCTAGAAATGATTATCCAAGCCATTAGGACCTTCCAGTCATTCCAGTATTAAATATTAAACCCTTTCAGAGGAAGAACTTGACTTAAGGTATTTATGTTTTGGAAAAATTGGGGTTCAGAGGCTGAATGGCATATGTTCCTACTGCCTTATTCAATCTATGGCTTCTCTATGAAACACACTCTACTTTGTTTTTTGTTTTGATTCTACCAGGATCATGGTTGAAGGAGCCCTGGTGGTATAGTGGGTTATTCATTGAACTGCTAACCACAAGGTCAGCAGTTCGAATCTACCAGTGGCTCTGCAGGAGAAAAGATAAGGCTTTCTGCTCCCATAAAGATTTACAGCCTCAGAACCCCTATACAGGATCGCTGTGAGTCAGCTGACTTGACGTCACACATGGTTAGCTAGTAGAAAGAGAAGTTCAGAAGGTGTAAATTCAGGAGCTCTAGTAGGGTAGTGGTTACGAATCGGGCTGCGAACCTTAAGGTCAGCGGTTCGAAACTACTAGCCGCTCTGCGGGAGAAAGACGAGGCTTTCTACTCCTGTAAAGATTTATACCCTCAGAAACCCTGTACAGGGTCGCTATGGGTCGGAATCGACTAGACGGCACTTAACAACAACAATGGTCAAAGGAGCTCTGGTAGCGTAGTGGTTACGAGTCGGGCTGCGAACCTTAAGGCCAACAGTTCGAAATTACCAGCCGCTCCATGGGAGAAAGATGAGGCGTTCTGCTCCCGTAAAGATTTACAGCCTCGGAAACCCTGTACAGGGTCGCTATGGGTCGGAACCAACTCGACGGCACTTAGCAACAACAACAACAACAAATTCAGGAGAAACTTCTGGTCAGTTAGATCTTAGGGAGAAAGGGTATCTTAGGGAAAAAGAGAAGCTAGACAAAAGTGGACAAGTTTATGTAATATTACCAAGAGTGATGCTAATTACAAAAGTGAGCGTAGCTAAGTTCATAGAGGCATTGGACTTTGTTAAGCATCATGGTCCAAATAGTATGTATACGGATTCCCAGTTGCCCTGATGATAGACCTCCTTTCTAGGGTAATGCCATATTTCTGTTTGAGTCGCATTTGGAGTGGAATGAATTAGTAATAAATGGACACATGGTCTGGTTATCCCTTCTTTGTGGTAAAAATCTGTTAGGGAGTTTGATGGGGAAAGAAGATGATAAGTATAAGGACTAGCTGGAGCTTGTTCCCTAGAGGGAGAGAGAACTTTCAGGTACTGCTGAAGCCATGCTTCTGCTCTTTGCCTGGATTACAAATGCCCAATAAATATTTGTTGAATGTATGTGTTGTGTACTGTGGTGCCCTGCCCAGACCCCCTGTACCACGTTGCCACATCCCTCCCCCAGTGGCTCTGAATTTTGACTGCTTAGTGTTCACAGTTCCCACTTCTCCAGTGATAGTGAAGAATTGTCCTCAGATGATGGGAGGTGTCAGTCAAGTTACCCCCCACACAATTCACATCCAGTGACTGAATAGTGTGGGGTGTCTCACCAAGGGGTGGGGATGTGATGTAGTTATGCGCCAGGACCCTCCATTTGTAGATGACACCAGTGCTGCATTTTAGCTTGAGACGACCCGTGAGCTTCAAAGAGTTCAGGGAGAAATGTCATTATCTTTGAATTCTTTTTTCCATGAACTTTTTGAAGTCCCCTTCTCTATCCTGTTTCATTCCCTCAAAGACTTTCATGAAGAGCATTCCTGTCCCAGTCTCTCTCTCTTGGAAACCTGGCATGAGACACCTGATGCTCTGAGGAGCCCTAAGACACAGACTTTAAGAAAGGGGGTCAGTGAAGACTCCATCACTGATGGTAGGTGGGATCTTGATGCTTCCTGGCATGTGATAGCTGTTCAATTGCTGAAACATTTATGGTAAACTGGGGTGGGATATGAGTTGTAAGGAATATGTGACTTGTGTAATGTTTGGAGCAATGATATTAAGGATCCTGGGACTGGGTTGCTCTCGTTGGATGCCATTGATTCCTAACAACAACAGCAACACAAATGACAAGACTCAGGACCACTTGTCATCAACTTCTCATCATCAACTCAGGAAAAGTGTGAGCCAGGGCTTCCTTGATCGCATTTAAAAGCACACCTCCTGGTGTGGCGTTGTAGCATCTACACTGGACTGAACCACAAGGTCGGCAGTTCAGAATCACCAGCTGCTCCTCAGAAACCCTACATAGGGTTGCTATAAGTCAGAACAGACTCAATGGCACTTAACAACAAGCATCTAAAGTTTGGGGTGCTGGCAGATATGAGTCAGACTGGATATGATTCAGGGCTTCCAGTTACCACATGGGCAGTTGACTGGAAGCCCCAGAACCAATCCTGAAACCCTTTTTAACCTGCAGTTGTATATGCATCCCAATCAAGGTCCTTTCCCACTTCTGGAGGTTAACAGTGATCTGCAGGTAGTCGTGATTTTGTTTTCTATCATCTATAATTAACCCCAGGGAGCTCTGGTAGTGGTTACGACTGGGGCTGCTAATCTCATGGTCAGTAGTTCCAAACTACCAGCTGTTCGTGGGAGAAAGATGAGGCTTTCTGCTCCCGTAAAATTTACAGCCTCGGAAACCCAGTACAGGGTCAGTATGAGTCGGAACTGATGCCAGGGCACATGTCAACAACATAATTAACCCCAAGGTCATGAGTCCTTTGGACACCGTATGGCCTCATGCTGATTTTCCTCATCCAGATGGTTTGTCTTTGTCCTATATAAGGCTAAATACAGGGTTTAGATTTGGAACATTCCCCCTTCGAAAACACCTAACAGCAACGGTCCTTTCATACCAGCTTGTTCAATGACTCTTTTTCCCACACCTTTCCCCAAGAACCTTAGCAGATCAGATTTCCAATCCGACTTTCTGTGGTTCTCATATGCCCAGGCGACCTGCTATCTTCGCCTTAATCAGTGGATTTATTTTGTAGCCTGAACAGGCACCTGTGTGCTGGTTCCCGAAAGGCAGACTCATGGAAACCGGACCATTAGATCTGAAGTTATTCCTCACACGGAACACTTTAGGAGGGCACCACCCTGCGCGGGGTCTCGAGGTAGGCTGGAGGCAATAAGGACATTGGGGGTGAGGAGGGGAGGACGCCCTCGTGGTTACTGCACGGACCAGGTGAGCAAGGAGGGAGGTGAGACCGGAAGAAGGACGAAGAAAAGCACACCAGCGAGTCTGGGGGAGCCCATGTCTAGTTCGTGGTCGTTCTGAACGTCCCAGAGAACGCACTCCGGGCCGGATGCGACCTCTGATGGCCCCTGCGACCCTTACATAGCAGCCCGCCCTGCATCCGGGCCTTCTCCAGGACGCGCCCTCAGCCGGGCATTGGACTCCGCTGCCGGAAGTGCCACCGAGAAGCGTCGGCCTCCGGGCGCTTAGAGCGGCCCCGGAAAACTGGCACGACTCCGCGGGCCGAGGTGTCCTGGTCCGGACGTCCGCGGGCTCTGCCCCGCCCCCAAGTGAGTAACCCGGAAGCCATTCTGGGGCTCGCGGTTAGGGGCAGCCCCTTGCTTTCGCTTCCCGGGAGGAGGAGGCGCCTGTCCCGGTCGACTGCGGTTCCAGTTCCTAAGAGCGATCGGAAGCTGGGTGGGAGAGCTGTCGGCAATCCGGGTTCGTCCCAACATCCCGGCAGTGCTGTCAGGACCCGGAGACTGTGCCTTAGTGTGAGCTGGGACTACGGCTCTCCTCGTTCCTATTGGGGCTGTGTTTTCGCCTAAAAGGGAAGTGGGGGCCAGTGCCAGGCGAGGCCTTCTGAGGACCAGGCCAGAGGGCTGCCTGTCATGGCCTAGAGGGCAACGGTGCAGCCTCTCTGAATCGCAGCTCTCCGTTCGGTGGTTCCCGGGGTTATGGAAAAAGGGCTGCCCACTGAGTCCGAGGTAGAGGAAGGAGGGTCTCCCCAAAGGGAGATGGATTATAGTTAGCCCATTTGGTAATTCAAACTGGGCTGACGGTGTTACCAAGTAAATCCTTAGGGGGCCTGCTTTCAAGAGATGAGAAACCATAATTTGCGTATTTCTTTGGACACAAATGGGAAGCTTGGATGTTTCAAAAGTTCAAATATTTTTAACTTTCTACAGAAATCTTTACCCTAGTAAGTCATACTGTCTCCGTAACTTTGAAAAATCACAAATTTGGTACACCTGTACCACATCAGTGGCTGTCCAGTCAGGTTCTACTAATGTTATTAAGTGCCGTCGAGTCACTTCCGACTCAGCGACCCTCTATAGGTTTTCCGAGGAGCGGATGGTGAGTTTGAACCACCGACCTTGCAGTTCAAACCAGCCTTATGGTCGCGTGCTTGTCCTACAGTGCTACACTAGGACTCCAAACCTTAATATTAGTTCAAATAAATTTTAATACTTGGACCATTTGATTTGCTTATGAATGATTTGAAGCAGAAGTATACTCATTTTCTTTTCATTGTTTATTTGGAGCGGTTACGCATGATCAAGTCTTTTTGTTCTAAGTATCTTAGGAGCTACAGTGTGTAAGATACTTTGCTAAGTCCTGAT